TTAGAATAAGACACAAAAAGAGCAATATAAAGTATTGTCACAATTACGGGTATAATAGTTTACTTACTCTCAAATAGTAAATGTGAATTGTATTTAATCAATAATCCGTGAGATATATCACATTTTTAGGGAATGATCAGTAATATCACTGCCATCACAAATATTATTGTATATTCAAATAATAAATTATTAATGATATTGTGATTGAATTTATTATATTTTATGGTATTTCCTGAAATGGATATATAGTTAATAATTAATTTATTATTGTACTAATATATAGTTATAATGACTTATCAAGCGTTCCTACGAAATTCTGACATTAAAGTTAAAATAAGAAATGAAAATAATTAAATATTAAAGCTATCGATTAAAATGATATGATAAACACAACAAATATTATCGTTATTACATTGATGTAATTGTATGACAAACTACTGCATACATACTTTGATAGAGTAAAAAATTAGAGAATCTTTTTAATATTAATTAGAAATCTTAAATAATATTTTTGAATGCGATTATAATAAATATATCATTTTCAATTTTAGTTAAACAAATGTTACAATTCATAGATATTATACATAAGTCGACAGTTTTTATGCATTAATATTTATCCTAAAACTTTTTGTAAACCTTTGAAAACAAAAATGATAACAATATTAAGAAAGGATTTAAAATATCTTATATCTATTTTATCAAAAGTTAAATGTATAATAATATTGCTATTTGTTTATCAAATATATCACGAAACCGACAATTACTTAAGTTATGAAGTGATCAACGATTTAACGTTTGACAGAAATAGCGATCAATCGGTGTATGAGTTATCGATTACCGTATGTGTAAATCAACGGCATTCCCGACTCTACGGGAATCGATCGATGAGGGAATTTGTTGAAAATCTTGGAGTATTTTGTCGGTTAAGCGGACAGACCGTTGGGGACATTGAATGCCACTCCCTGTTCCCGGTGTACGCGTACCAAACCCGGAACTCCAGCGTTTGTATCACTCATTTGAATACCCAGTTTAACCATACAGTCATCGGCATTGACACTATAGTAGCGGTAAGATTATTTAATTTAACCAGTGCCAAAGTGGTGGTACACCCGGTGGATCACACGCCCCATTTTGCCATAATGGAAGATGTGGTCGGAATCAATCAACTCTACGTACCTATAGTTGATGGCAAACAGGTAGTGCTATTGCCCCGACCCTACGCTACCGACTGCCGCCATTACTCTCGCGATGGAAACCAAAAATCTCGTTCAGAGTGTATGTTAGCGGCGATGAGGCGCAGGGAGTGGGCAAAGTGTGGACACAATCACTACTGGAGTTGGCACCGGATGTTCAGTAATAATAGCCTATTCGACGCTTTAAATCTAACCGATTCCATAGAAAACAATGGCAAACACTGTTATGTTAAGCCAAAGTACAGGGCTCTGCAGCTGGAGTGCAAGATTGAGTGTAATTATTACGCCACATCTATCAGTTGGGCAAGGTCATATTTGCATTTACCAGGCAGGGATAGTAAGTTGAGTTTTAAACATATAGGCTATAATCATAAGAATTACATAAGTATTGTGTGGCGATTGTTGCCCAAAATGCCCGGCATTACATACCTGTCCTCTATCGGGGGCCTAATGGGCATGTATTTGGGTCTAAGTGTTCACTCGGCACTAATTTATTATATTGAAAAGTCACTCATTTATGTTAATCGCTTGAATAGGATTAAAAATAGGAAAATATTTAGAAAAAGTACCAAGCTCATTATCATTATCAAAGTCATAATTACAACCGCATGTCTAGCAGTAATGGCCGTACAGTTATACGAAATTTACGATAATTATAGCAATTACAATGTTCAATCAAATATTGCTGTATTGAACTCAAAGTTTCGCATTCCGTCGCTCATATTTAATATATATCCAAACGCTCACGTATTGCGCAAAACTATATCTAACCATCGTGGACTACAAAATGCGTACACCCTTATCAAACAATCATACCTGGATATATTAAGGACAAATAATTTGAGCGCATTTAAACGCGATATATATGATTACAATCAAAGCGTTAGATCATGTTACTTTGAGTTTGAGGGCATGGACGATAAGGTTGACTGTCCCCCTCATAATAATCTTGTTTATTTTAAAGTTGACAATTATTCCGGTATTTACAACCGGTTTCTCGCCGTACAGTCCGTCGCAGTCAATGAAAGCGCTATGTTTTTAGCGAAACAATTTCGACGAATGACCATAGATCACAAAAGTGAGGGAATTCGTGTAATTTCTATATTTCTTATCACTGAACAAAATGTTGGATTAGTTTTGCAAACAAACGCCGAGTATATCATTACGGTTACCGGACAGACGTACCGACACTTGCGTCGGCCGTCATTCCTGTGCTCTGACGGCGAGCCGGGCGTCGATCACTTGTTTATCAACGATTGGCGCCACTGGCGTCTCAATGAGTGCGTTAAGCACCGGCTGTACGCTATAAACCAATGCTATCCCGTATGTAATAGCGATTATAAGGTAGATATCGATATGGATATAGTGAGCACAGGGCGCCGATTCTGTGCCCACCCCTCACAAGCACCCAATAGTACGTTATTTACAGCGATATACGACCAATGCTTCAAAGGATTGGCCGACACGTGTCTGTATCAGCCCGTTCAGTTCAATGTGGTCAAAGTGCGCACAGGGCTGCCCGGATTCACCAGGGTTAATCTAATTTCGAGCAATTACTTGGAGCCACAAATCACTGAACAGTTAGCAATGGATTTCTGGGATTTTGTTTATGATTTTGGCGGTACTGTTGGCCTTTGGATCGGACTCTCGTTTATATCAATACCCGAATATCTTTGGGCTCTATATTTGCGTTTGGTTTTGATTTATAAAAGGTTTTCAAAATGATATTACATTACTGTAAAATTTATTGATTATTTAATTATAATTTTATTGATTTATATTATGTGTTTATTTGTAGTACAAATTCACTAAATAAAAATTATTATTATTAGTAATGAATATGTAATGTATAATTCATGATTTACTATAATATGATTGTTTTTAATAATAATAAATAACAAAATGGAATATTGTATTATCAATTAATATGATATCATAAATATAATTAATATTTTTAATAAATTAAATACATGCTACGATATATTATATGATATATTATGTAATGTAAATAATTGAGAAAAATATTAGCAGCATTTTATGCAAACTACAATTACTAGTAAAATTCAAAAGTTAATATATCAATAATTTTAGAAAAATTTTAAATTTCATAACAATATGATAACAAAATCTACATTTTTGTACATTAAGTCTAGATTTTCAATAATAAAATTTCTAATAACATTTGCATAAGATGTAGGTGTAGATTGATAAATGACATTAGTTTTTAAACATTGTTTGAAATCAATTCACGAAGAAAAATTTTATTTTTAATTTTAAAAACCAACTTTTATCAAGTTTATATTGATTTAAGATTTGATCAAAACTTCTGTGTATTTTGTATATTTTAAACATATTTATTTCTGTACTTTCTATACTCTGTGAAAATTCATATAATAATTACTAAAAGCATAATAAAATATTAAACATTTTTATTAATCAACGCATTAATTAACACAAAAACAAACAACAATTTAGTGAATATATATTCACAGAAAAAACACAAAATACCAAAACTAGTGATAATGGCATACAATGCAAACACTCCCGTCAAGTGTTGGACGCAAATACTTTGGACGTCGTATTCAATGCCGTCCACAACAGAGCTGCCAATTTCGGTACCAAAGTGTGTGTCACTCATCACAAGTTTCAATCGGGTGTTAAAAATACCGCTTTCGTACACTATTTTAATTCTGGTTATACAGTAAATAAATAGTCAAGTTAAACAAGTTATTATAACTTATTATAAGTTATTATGTAAGATATCTACCATAATTGCCATAATATAAGCCAGAGTTTATATGCAAAACTCAACTAACTTATAACTATTGAGATACTTATGCCATAAGTTATGGTATGGAAATAATGGTAAATATAAACTAGTTTCATCTACACTTACATTAAATCTAGTATACGTCTCATACGGGCAGTCATGCGATGATTATTATAAGGTATGAAATACGGCTGAGAAGACATACTTTGTGTCGATATATGAAAATCAATGTCTTCGACAAAATTCTTGTCGATATAATATTTTTTAATTAAATTACAAAACAATTTGCTGTAAATCTGCACAGATTTACCCTCAATGACGGACTTATAATCCAGAGCTTTGGTCAGATCAGTTGTTGGGTCCAAAAACAGTTTATAGGCATTGACCAATGGGTCCAACCGGGAGCTCAGGTTGTGTCGGCCGCTAAGCCCCCAAACTTTTTGGGCTTAAATAAATACACGTGAAAGTCATCATATCTGAAGGTCTGAATATTACGGCTTTGCCACTGGGGCTTAGCGTACAAGTCCTGCAACGAGTCTATCCAATCGATGGGCGGCACTCGTATGAGTAGTTCCCGGAGATAACCGGCGAATGCGGCCAAATATACGGTACAGACCAGTAGCCAAAGGCCGGCCAACAGCCTCTCGGCGCCGGCCGTGAACTGAATGGTATAGACGTCGGACAACAATACCGAGCCGTACGACCAGAGCGTCGGCAAAAATGCTTTCATTGACCGGCGCTTTAGGCTAATGACTAGTGATAGCAAAACCATGGCCGCCATCAAGAGGTAGTAGTTCTCGACGTTTAGACATTTGAATATCTCGTAAAGTGACCAGTGCTCTGATTAAACAAAATATTTTTACATTAATGCCTTTATTATTGGTTTCATTTACTGTACTTTTAATGGTAAAGCTGAGGATATGTGCTGAAGATGAGTACGAGACATATCTGGTCAATGATATGTCTGTCTGGTTGGCAGACATGCGGCGGAGAAACATCTCGTTAAAATGTTGATATTTTAGACCAACTAGCACTATATGCGGTAATGATGAGGCTTGTTTTAATATAAGTTGTTTGTATAAGGCATTTTTACCCTGTTTTTATATTATAATAATTATCTGGAATTTCCGATATATTTACTTATTTATATATAGTTAAGTAAAGTTTATTCAAACTTTGTCTTGGTGAATTTTGCAAAATATCTCGCGATTATCATCGTCCGCATCCGCACCATAGGTATGACAATACGGTTAAATTGTTGACTGTTTTTTCAGTCTATTCATAATAGGTTACAATCGGCGGATAAAATGTGGGCAATATTTCAATGATTTCATCACTTGTTTCATACCAACTGCTGTCAAGATATGAGCCGTTGTTTGTTGTGGTAAACAATTGGCAATCAGTCCTCGGATTAATCCCGAAATCGTTAAATATTACCATAATTTAAGTATTAACTAATATAACGATAATGATCACGTTTATAACCTAATTTATGTATTATGCTACTGTGTTTATTAAATTAAAAATTGCCATAGTAATTTATTTTTAAATTCAGATGTACAATATCAATATCAATGACATTTAGAACACTCGCTGTGTTATTCACTTGTCAGTTGTTCATGTCATTTATATCAATATGCTAATTTTATTATAATAATATTTTAAATATAATAAAAACAAAATAATAATTTAAAACATTGCAATCTTATTGTAAGTACATATAAATGTTATTTAATTGGTGTTAATGGCATAAATGTTTTTTTCATATGTTTTATAATAAATTCTGTAATAAATGTAATTACATTTAATTTACAATTACAAATATGTAATAGTAATGTAATGTAATGTAATACTACAATAAAACAATATAATAGTAGCAGAATATTACAAATTATTAAAAATTACAATATTTTTAATTATATTTTATTTCACAAGGACTTTGGAAAGGCTATAATAAATAAGATTAGATTTACTTTATTAATGATCTTGAAAATTATATTTTTTAAATATAATGATTATTTCAAATAAAATAAACAAATGATAAAATTAAAAGTTGACGACAAAGTTATCACAACAAAAATATTATAATATTTCAACTATAAAATATCAAAAACATTATTTCACTTTATGTAAAAACTTTTAAAATAATGTTTAATTTTACCATAATTAAAACCATGAAATAATTATAACAACTATACGTATGGATAACAACAATAATAACATAGCATTTGTTGAACAGATCTTAAGAGACTATGATTTGGTTGAAGTGTTTGAATACAACAACAATAATACGGATAATGAAAACGATATCATAAAAAGTGTAATCAATTGTTTCGCCGCAAAAATCTCTCGGCTTAAGAGTGGTGTCAATGATCTCAACGATTATATCAAGACATTTGAAAAGGAGAGACACAGGTATCGGGAATTGGAGGCATTCAATGGGCAACTAATACAAGATGTCCAACAACTCGACCAACAAAATCACAAACTATTGCAAGACATTGAAAAACAACGGCAAGTGATTGAAAGACTTGAGGGACTCGTCGACAGACAGAGAGACGAAATTAATTTAATTAATACTAATAATAATAATAATTATAATGATAATAATGGATTTATCAATTATATAACACAACTATTAGCGACCGCTTTTAACATTCACATGCTATGAAGACTATAGTATTGAAATAACGGGTAAATTAATTTCAAAATTAATAACTAAAATTACATTGTACCTTTAATAGAATAAACCAAACAGAATAATATCACTATTTTGCTATTTATTTGTTTGATTACCGCTATGTGTCCAGCGGTCGACAATAGTGGCCACGCGGGCCGCCCGTCGCCACCGCTGTCGGTACAACTGGTGATTACCGTAAGGGTCCGGGTATTTAGTAGCGTTGTTACTAGTGTTAAACACCTGTATGGGCTCAATAATCGGGGACAGTTTGTTGAGTCCGGTAAGACCACCTAGCTTATTATTATCCTGGGCGTTTTCTTTAACACGTTTATACATGTAGACCACAATACCCTCGATCACATCGTAAAGGCCCAGTAGTGAGAAGCCGACCCACATCGACAACAGGCCCCCGATGTATGACGAGAACTCAGCCGTCTGTATGTGTTTCACAATTTAAATGTCAATATTTTGTAAGTTATTGTAAGGGGTAATGCAAAGGCACCCTTACCTCAAACTTGGGCTGATACTGATTGATCACTTGCTCGGCGCTCCAGTACCTGATGGACACAATGGCGCAGCACTGCCTCATATCATAAAGATAGTCACCTTTCTTGCTGTGCTCCTATTGCCACACAAAACAAACAAATAATTTCATTATGGTACAAAATTATCATGTTTAAAATTAAACTAAAATAACATACAATGCGTTCAGTGGACGGCCACTGACGGACTTCCTTAATAATCCGATATCTGTCTATTCTATTACAAAAAACAAATAAAAAAAATTACCATGTTTACCAAAATCACCATAATTTAGTCAATACAATAGTGGTCAGTGAATGTGTTTAATGTCATTAGTATTGTAATTAACATACTTGCAATCGGAGTTACACTTGGCTTTGCACTGTGTCTCGTGTACGGTAAAACAGTATTGAAACCAGGTTGCATTTGCCGGCTTATCAGGCTGGTTCGGTGCCACGTCCAGCCCATCGCCGTCCCAATCGCACCATTTGAGCAGATTTTCCTGCGCGTCCTCCAGACTGCCCCTCATAAACGGCAACTCCGGTGGCCAACACTGGCACCTGTCCATCGTCGCCTGTGCCATACAGCCGATGATACAATTGCCCTTGCTCAACGGGTGGTGCAGGTATTCGTTCACATCTTCGCTGCCGTCATATGACGAGAGCTTATGGTCGACACAATCGGTGGCGTAGGGTTTGGGCAACAGTTTGTCCGACTCTTTCGATATGTAAAACTCGTAGTAATTGCCGGGAAAAAGGTTGAAATTTTTCTCGCGTATGGGCGGCGCCTCGTGATCGTCGTGCACAATGACGTGGCCCATCACCGGTTCGTTTAGGGTAGTGTATTCGCCCGCTTTGAAGTCCAATTTGAGCCTGATGATTTCGTTCGGGTGAAAGGGCTCTTCGCTGATCTCGATGTTGACCGCCTCGTTGTCCGCCCCCCGGCGTACCGGTGACTGCGATAGACCCGACTCGATGGCGATGGAGGTGAGCAGTTCGCTACGACCACGGTGGAATAGTGTGAAACAATTACCAAGGTCCTGTGTCGTGGTGATCACGTTCGCGTATTTTCTGTCGTTAAACAAATGGCAATTATTTGTTTGATAACTATTTGCTAAATATTTGTGTATTGTATGCTAGTATGTAAAAGTAAAATGATAAAATATTTTAAAATATAAGTACTAACTTAATAGTAAATATTTTTGTTGCTTAATAATTAAATGTATATGAAGTACATACAGTTTAAAATTAAAAAAAGTAAAAAAAAATTTTAAAAAGTCTACGACACCGGGTATTCCCAGGTGCCAGTGTTGGCAACCGGAGTTGCCGTTCATGAGGGGCAGTCTGGAGGACGCGCAGGAAAATCTGCTCAAATGGTGCGATTGGGACGGCGATGGGCTGGACGTGGCACCGAACCAGCCTGATAAGCCGGCAAATGCAACCTGGTTTCAATACTGTTTT